CTGAAAATTTCTTTAATGTTTTCATCACTTCTGTTAATGATTCTTTGCTACCATCTAAAAGGATTGAAGTGTCATCTGCTAATTGGGATATTTTCTTTTCCATTTTTTTTACAGTAATTCCCTTAATTTTTTTTATTTTTTCTTATCATTATTGCTAAAATTTCTGCACACAAGATAAAGATATAGGGTGATAGGGGGTCCCCTTGTCTACACCCTCTCTGTATATTAAATCTTTGTGAAAAATTACCACTTTGATTAATTGTGGAATTTATATTGGTATAAAACAATTTCACCCATTTTTGTATTGAGGGACCAAAATTAAAAAACTGTAAGGAACTCTGAATAAAATTCCATGAAATAGTATCAAAAGCTTTCTCGAAGTCAATCAAAAGCAACAAGCCTGGTATATTTTCTTCTTCTGTGTACTGCATTATATCATAAATTAAACGTGTATTTTCTCCTATGTACCTATTGGAAATAAATCCTGTTTGATCACTATTTATCAATTTGTCCAATTTATTTTTTATTCTGTTAGCAATAGAACCTGATGCAATTTTGTATACAGTATTTAGGAGTGTTATTGGCCGCCAGTTTTTTAGAAATTGTCTTGGCTTATCCCCCTTAGGTAAAAGCGTTATTATACCATGTCTCTGTGTGATAGACATAAGATTATTCTCATATGCATAATTAATTGATCTAACAACAAAGTCTCCAAGGTATTTCCAAAAAACTTTAAAAAATTCTGCCGAAAAACCATCAGAACCAGGTGATTTGTCTGCTTTCATTTTATTAAAGTGCTAGAAGCCTCCTGTAAAGTAATGAAACCTTCTAATTCTTCAGCTTCTGCATTAGATAATTTTGGAGAATTCTCACTTATTAGATCTGACTCAAATTCTTTCAGTGGTTCACTCAATACAGATTCAGAATATAATTTTTCATAAAAATTCTTTGTTTCTTCTAAAATTTGTGCTTGATCATGGATTATCTCCCCTGTATCTAATTCTAGCATAGGTATTATTTTACTAGTATAGTTCCTAGACTCTAGAGAACAGAAATATTTTGTAGGTTTTTCTTCCTCATCTACCTATCATGCCCTACTTCTTACACATATACCTTGTAATTTATGTTTTCTTAAATTTTCAAGGTCTTGTTTTTTGTTTTCCAAATCAGAAATATTTTCATCTGTAATATTTTCTTCAAGTTTATTTATTTCTTCTCTTAATTTTTTTTCTGCATTTTCATTTTTCTTTTTTAGGTATGAAGAATATGAAATACTTTTGCCCCTGATTTCCATTAGGAGAGTTTCAAGAAACAATTGATCATTTATAGTAAAACATATGTCTTTGTCGTGAAGAGAATCTATACATTTTCTTTCATAAACTGGTACAGCATACTGCTTTTTAATATTACTAATAACCTCTTTAATGCTATCTAAGTACTCTTTGTCCCTTAAAAGAGAATTATTAAACTTCCAGAAACCTCGTCCTTTTTTAAAGTCATGAAATTTTAACACCAAAGAAATCATTGAATGGTCTGATCTATAGCTAGTTTCAATGTCACATTTATTAAGGCAAGGTAAAAGTGTTTCTGACATGACAAAAAAATCAAGACGACTCTGTTTAAAAGGCTTTTTCTTGCGCCAAGAATACCTTCTGTGTTTTTCATTTAGTTGTCTAAAGGGGTCTATATATCCATTGGACTCCATAATTTCTAATAATTTACTTCTAGCCTTTGGGTTGTTTACATGTTTATAATTAAAATAATCTAGTTCTGGATTCAATACTAAATTAAAATCCCCGCACCATACAATATTACTACAATTCATGTCCTCTAAATATGATTCAATATTCTCAAAAAAACTCGGAGCGTCATTATCTGGACCATATACAGTACATATTACTAATTCATGACCTTGAATACAAGCTTTAATGATATGAAAATTTCCATCTTTATCACCTTTTTCTGATAAGACCTTGAAATCAAAGTTGTTATTTACAAGAAGTGCAACACCTCTGGAGTTGCTTGTAAAAGAACTAAAAAAACATTTATAACCCCATAACTTCATTCTCAATTTCAGATGAGAAGTGAGTGTCTTGTAAGCAATATATGTTATATTTAAGTGTTTTTAAATAATGAAAAACATCTCTACGTTTTGCGACATCACCCAGACCTTGACAGTTAACTGATAATATTTTAACCTCCATGAAAACAGAGTACTGACATTGGGACTTGACACCGACTGGAATTCAGACTGTAAATGAAAGGTTTGATTTTATCACTTTTTTGAAAACATGCATACGAAAAAGAGAAAGAAGAGGAAAGTAAGAGAAGAAAAACATGAAAAGAAAAATAAAACATATTTTGCGTTACAGTAATGTCTGTAGAGGATTGTTCTGGCAATAAATCATACCATTAACCACATGTATGGAATGTCCGTATAAGTAGTAGCTCAATACCGGTTGTTTGTCTGTGCCGTGTAATCTCAGAACCTGTGCGTAGTATAGTAATTTCCGGATTGCAGGATTGCAGATTTTACTCCTGGTCTTCTTTAGGATTTATTTTTTCATCTATGTCGTCAAAGATGTCAAACACCACCTTTTCCTCCCCCACTTGGCCATAGATGTGCCCGTTGAAATACCATGCAGCCTTGATCTTGGGGTTTTCGAGTAGGTTATTTATCAGTTTGCTGTTCAAGTAGGTCACATCATCACTGAGGCGAATCGAAGAATCCGTGTTTTTCTTCATGGCTGACCGATGGATCATAATCCTGGTTTTGGCCGTATTGTTTCTCATTTTCATCAGAATAGATAGTTTTCGATTGACCAAGAGTTACTTCCCGTTGGCCGCCATACTGGAGGTCCAACCGCTCATAATCCTTCATTGTTCAACCAATTTAAAATTTTTATATTTGCTATTTTGAATTAGAAATCATTATTTTTCTGAAGTATATAAATATTTGGAAGCCTCCTTTATTTAAAAAAAATTATTTGATAAAGATTTTCCACCAAATATTTCTGCTATAGTTTCTTAAACTTGGTAAGACAAAGAGGGAAAATCACCGAGTCGACCTCCAATATGGCGGCCAACGGGAGGTAACTTTCGCTAAATTCAGGCCTATCGAAAACCATCTATACTTGATATCGTGATTACTTAACTTAGCGGAACTCTTTCGCGATGGAGGTAGGAAACGTCTGTTGGCTGGGGACAACTGTGCTATTGAATACAATGCAAGATCGATCATTGTAGAATTTATAAGGACAGATAAGTAAATAATCCTGGCGGAAATCCTTGCACAACAATCGCTGAACCAGTCTAATTAATTTTTGATAGGATCTAATCCTAAAATGTTACATTTTTAACGATATTTTTAACCAAGTGGGCTCTTCTAATTAAATTTTCATTGAAAATCTTTGCGTTTTTAAGCTGATAAAATAATCTAAACTTTCCCTATTTGACAAAATTTTATTTGGAATTTTATTCTTAACAATACATTGTACTTGAGGCGCAAAATTGTTCAAATCATTCGATTCTCACTACTGTAAACAAAGCCATGTGCCCCTGTAATCTCGTGAGATTTGAGCTTTCCGACTCCCCCGCAAAAGAGCGGTAGTAAGTTAGATAACTGCAAGGTACTCATTGGTAATCGCGATATTACGTATTGGCCGTTGATAACCCGGTCTTCCCGGAATACGATGTATAGCAATGATATCACTCTCCGGAACTTCCACCCCTGTGTTTCCCTTAATAATTTCTTGTGCGACCTCCATGACATTTTCTCCTTTAATTTCTTTCACCCCATGTAATTTAATGTTGTTTTTTCTCGAGTATTGTTCGTTCCAGTTTGATTTGGCCAGTGCTGAGTTGGCAATTTGTTTGATTTCATTGTTTTCTGTTTTCAGTTTTTCTATGTCGGATCTTTGCTTATCAATAGTTTCTTGTAATGATTTTATTCTTTCCTCATACATTAATTCCATTTCTTTATTGTGGTCAGAAATAATTTCTTTGACAATGGTACCAACAATAATTTTCAGATCGTCATTTTTCACAGTTTTTTTTACGCTTTCTTTCAAAGACTTTAGATCCGCCAAAATACTTTTCAATATCTCACCACCTTCTGATTGTTTTTCCGACTGTTTTTCACCGATTGTATCATCACTAATACTAACATTGGCAGATGCACTCCTATTTCCAGACCTTTTATTTTTACCCTGACTGACGGACATTTTTAAAACCGCAATTTTTGTTTTCAAGCACCGGTAATCTGTTTACTGCACAACACTACACTGAACTGATTCACATGAACACTTTTCACGTGCACTACTCGAACACGGAACTCTCCATAAATTATGTCCCACAAACGACAAATATCAATAATAACCCACAAAAGTAGAAGTTTTTTCAGTGTCTAAAATAGAAACATACTTTTGATATGTAAAGAGCGGGTACTACTGCCAATATTGCCAGTCTCTACGGAGCCGTCTACCACACGTCCGTCTTGCTCACCGCCATTACCGGAACTCGTGTCTATCATATTTGCTATGCGTCTTAAAGTTGATAATATATCAGCAAACAGTATATGAGTTGTTTTAATTTTCTGTTGGCAAGGACGGTTATAATTTTTGATGCCGATTATGTAATTTTTTATCATTGACATCCACCTGCTCATTTGTCTATAAAACAGGCTTTGGTTGCTGTAAATGTCACATATTTCAATGAACATTTCTTTGGGAGTTTTAAAATTTTTTACAGCAGTTCTTATGAAGCTTTTATTTTCACTCTAGTTTACTGATTCTTTATCATTCATTTATAAAGCAGTGTTTCGAATAGCCCTTGTTTTCCAGCTTCTCGCAATGAAACTATGTGTCTTGAAAAGTGGTCACATATACTGTTATAAATTCATTAAAGATTAAATAATAAGAGAACTCAAGCTTAATGTCATATGATATCTGTATTGTATGTCATACAGTTCATGACATTATTTATTGAACACATCTCGTATTAATGGAAAACACGTATCATATCTATAATTGTTATATATTTTTCATTTATGCCCAGATGCAAGTGAGAATTTATTTGCATGATGTTTCCTTCCAATTTAAAAAAAACTTTAAAAGTGGAAAAAGGAAAGAAAATACTATTCAGCATTATTACATATATGTTGTTGGTTCTTTTACATATTACGTAACAGAAAATAATATCAATATTTATGTCGTACTGCATACAAGGAAGATATAGATTGTTTATTAGATTCAGTGTTCGTTGCGTGCCTTCTGGTTGGAAGGGCTATCTCATCAACAATCATCTGTGATTCTCTTAAGTCATCGTAGGACATTTCATATTCCCAGTCATCTTCTGTGTAATTTTCTATTTAAAAAAAAGTAAATGTACACTTTGTTTTTTTTTTTTCATTTTTTTTATTAATATTGTAAATTATCCTTGTTTCAATTCTACACACAATAAGCTTTCACAAATTTTTATTGAAAATCAAATCTGTTTTAATTGATGTATTTTCGTATGTTATTATTTTTCTAAGATTTCTTTTTAGATTAAGAGGTTGAAATATACTACCGATTTTCTTTACTTTGGTTTCCTGCTCTCCTTGAATCGTGTGAGATGACCTAGATAGAATTAGATTATTTAGACTAGATGATCAATTTTTTTTTCATCTGATCGTTTTCCTCATTTTCTTTATATGTTAAACTTCTCATTGAGATTTTTTTTTATTAAAAGCAATCATTAAAAAGCATGAATAAATTAGATTTATGCAGAGTAGGTATACAATACGATGTATTATTTGTCTTTTTTCCATTTAACTAAGAAATACCTTTTTCGTACAAAGTTGATTACTAACACAACAACCAAGGAACCGATGATTACCACAACGCCAAATAATATTAGTAACCAGCTTTCTAATGAGATGCCTTTCAATTTCATATTATTGACTGTTGAACTCTGTACTAAAAAGGAAAATATTTATAAAAAGGTATTCCAAAAAATAAATGAGAGCAAAAAGCAATAAATAAAATTGTATCAAAAATAAACGAACAGGCTGTTTGAAGCATATTTTTTTTCATGTAACAGGAAAATCACTCATTTGGAATTTAAAATTAAAGCTCAAATTCCGGAAATAGATAATTCAGTTCTGGATTAGGGACCGATATATTTATGATAGTACGTTATATTTTTTGGGTGAACATACTCATTTTAAGAAAATAACTCACGACATGTTCCATTTATTCTGTCACACGTATCACATTTGCATTTGTCCCGACATCCAAAACCATAAAACCCAGGTACACATTCTTTGTTGCACTGAGGTCCGAAATACCCGATACATTCTGAAAATTGATGATAACATTACTTGTTGCAAGAAAATATTACATGAGGTATATGTGTTTGCCAAGACAGAGTCCATTAAAGATAATTTATCTAATGTTTCTAACTGTTATTTTTGTCGCTGACACGTGTATGACCAACAACTGACTGGTTTGTTTTTTTTTTTAAATAATGATTTGTATATAAAATAAAAATACATATACATAATATTACAATATTATGTCTGCTTGATAGGTGTAGAACACATGGGGAAATTAAATGCAATCTTCCAATGTTCTTTCTCTCTGACGTCAGAGAAATAATGGTTGCAAGAAAATGACCTGTATATTAGTTCTTGATCATTGCTCAGTTAAATATGAAGAAAACTACACTTGTAGTATTGCAAAATTCATATTTTATAAGTATTCTCTTCTCCACGTCAATCCAAGATTAAACTCTCTCTCTCTCTCGTTTTGAAATATTTTCTAAACAAAGTGATTTATGTTTTTGTAATTTCATTGGATTTTTTTTTAATAAATATTGAATTCAAATAGTTGAATCTCACTTCCATTCTCAATGACCGTGTATTGTGCGCCGCAAGAATAATATCGTCGTCGAATTTAAGTTTTATTTGATTGCCAAGTTACTAGTCATAGTAGAAGATTGTTCTAGCACCTTTTAGAGCTGGAAAACAGATTCACCACGTAAAGATATCAACCCCGGTCACAGGTGCTTGGGGATGGTACCCCACCTCTCCTGTTTTCTGTACCTCAATGTTTTTTTAATGAAATATTTTTTCTATATCCACATAGTATAACAAATGAAAAATCTAAAATTAAGCTAAAACTAGCCATTTATAAAATTTCATACTCTCTGATACTAAACAAGAACACAGAGTATGAAAAATAAATAAAGGCTATACTTTTGGCTTAAATTATGGATATTTCAGCTTAAATACTTTGTGAATAAGTCATAGAAAAATATTTAATTTTAAAACGTCAAAGAACCCTTGGGGTGCAGAACACGAAGGAAGGGGAGGGGCTCCAGTCTCCAAGCACCTAACAAAGACTGTTAATACATAGTCGTTTTTCAAATATAGTTTGATCAAATCTAAAAACCAAAACTTTCCATTATTTCATTATAAACACTGAGTATAAACCATAGAAAGTTTTAAAATAGTGACACTATAGCCAACTACTCACCGATACACTTATCTCCATTTTTCACGTAATCTGTACAGCATTTTAACTCCTCCCTAGAAAATGAACACTCATTCAATCAATAGATAATTCAATCACTTATTACTGAAAAATCGGCGTTAAGGTGTTAAAGCATAAACAAAGTTTACCAAAAGTCTTACCCTTCCTTGCTACATATCCCTGATTTTGTTGTTTGGCATTTAACAGACGTGATTGTGAGACACAGCGAGAAGACCAGGCTCATTACATAATAATAAAACTTCATTTTAATTATATAATGCGCATTACTCAATATCTGTCGGATTTATATCTGCACTTCCTTGAAATACTTCCTTAAACTCGAAATGATTTAACCAAAAATGACAGAATTATACTTTGCAATTTATTAACATGTATAATTTAATCTCAATTAAACAACAATTTTTTTGGTAAATGCAATTAATATATATTTCTTTTATAGTGTCATCTTTCAGTTCTACACCTAGATTTTCTGCATTTTCATTTACATTGAATTTCACTTTCCACAAAAAAGAAGAAAAAACAAGAGGCCCATGGGCCACATCGCTCACCTGAGAAGCTTTGGCCATTCCGTTCTTTACCAGATTTCCCCTTGTAATACATATTGTGACCCCATCCTACCCCAATGATCATAATTTAAACAATTTGAATTCTACACTATCCCAGTATGCTTCGACAAAAGTTTCAATTTTTCTGGCTCAGTGGTTCTTAATTGAGAAGAAGATTTTCAAAGATTTTTTCTGTGTGTTTCTATGTAAAACATTGATTCCTTATTGTGGCCCCGCCCAACCCCTGGGGGTCATGATTTGAACAATTTAGAATTTACACTATTCCTGGATGCTTCCACATAAGTTTCAGCTTTTCTGACCCAGTAGTTCTTGTGAAGGAGATTTTCAAAGATTTATTCTGTATATTTCTATGTAAAACTTGGATTCTCTATTGTGGCCCCACCCAACCCCTGGTGGTCATGATTTGAACAATTTAGAATCTACACTAAAACAGCATGCTTCCACATAAGTTTCAGCATTTCTGGCTCAGTGGTTCTTGAGAAAAAGATTTTCAAAGATTTTTCCTATATATTTCTATGTAAAATATTGATTCCTCGTTGTAGCCCCGCCCTACCCCCGGGGGTCATGATTTGTATAATTTAGAATCTACACTACCCAAGGATGCTTCAACATAAGTTTCAGCTTAACTGGCCCAGTGGTTCTTGAGAAGAAGATTTTTAAAGATTTTTCCTATATATTTCTATGTAAAACTTTGATTCCCCATTGTGGCCCCGCCCTACCCCCGGGGGTCATGATTTGCACATTTTAGAGCTTACACTATCCTAGGATGCTTCCACATCAGTTTCAGCTTTTCTGGCCCAGTGGTTCTTGAGAAGAAGATTTTCAAAGATTTTTCCTACATATTTCTATGTAAAACTTTGATTCCCCATAGTGGCCCCACCCTACCCCCGGGGGTCATGATATGAACAATTTAGAATCTAGACCACTCCAGGATGCTTCAAAATAATTTTCAGCTTTTCTGGCCCAGTGGTTCTTGAGAAGAAGATTTTCAAAGATTTTTCCATTATATTTCTTGGTAAAACTTTGATTCCCCATTGTGGCCCCGCCCAACCCCCGGGGGACATGATTTGTACAATTTAGAATCTACACTACCCCAGCATGCTTCCACATAAGTTTCAGCTTTTCTGGCCCAGTGGTTTTTGAGAAGAAGATTTTCAAAGATTTTTCCTATATATTTCTATGTAAAACTTTGATTCCCAATTGTGGCCCCGCCCAACCCCCGGGGGTCATGATTTGTACAATTTAGAATCTACACTACCCCAGCATGCTTCCACATAAGTTTCAGCTTTTCTGGCCCAGTGGTTCTTGAGAAGAAGATTTTCAAAGATTTTTCCTTTATATTTCTATGTAAAACTTTGATTCCCAATTGTGGCCCCGCCCTACCCCTGGGGGTCATGATTTGAACAATTTAGAATCTACACTACCCCAGAATACTTCCACATAAGTTTCAGCTTTACTGGCCCTGTGGTTCTTGAGAAGAAGATTTTTTAATGACCCAACCCTTTTTTTGTCTTTTCTTGATTATCTCCCCTTGCGAGGGGATATGTCCCTTAATTTTAACAATTTAGAATCCCCTTTACCCAAGGATACTTTGTACCAAGTTTGGTCAAAATTGGCCCAGTGGTTCTTGAGAAGAAGTCGAAAATGTGAAAAGTTTACAGACGGACGGACAGACAGACAGACAGACAGACAGACGGACAGACGGACAGACGGACGACGGACAAAATGTGATCAGAAAAGCTCACTTGAGCCTTCGGCTCAGGTGAGCTAAAAATCTATCATGTCCCATGCAAAATCTAACATGGTTTTTCTCAGAATGAGAATATGAATTTTTATAGTTATGGAAGGACAAAGTCTTTCTGACTTAGTTGATATTATTGTTAGAGTTGTTGCTCTTGCTGATTAAATATTATTTTATGATAGAAATTATTTTCTATGGATTTGTTACTACCGTATTCTCTTTTTCAGCCTTTTAATTATTTCAACAATTACGACATGAGCAGAACAAACGTTTTTATTTAGAAGCTTAGCGCAAGGTTTTAGTACTAAGTGTGATGTACACTGTAATGACTGCATTTACTTTTTTTTATAAAAAAAAAAAAAAAAAAAAAAAACAGAGGGGCGGGGGGGGGGGGGGGGCTCAATATCACTCTAATTTTAAAAAAAAAATCATTTGAAAGCCATTTCCTTCAGAACCACTCACTTAATTATAACAATGTCTACCTTTAGTAGATAATCAGAATATTTGGAATTCATCAATAAATGTTCATTAGTCAAATCACATTCTGAATATTGAAGACTAAAATGCATGAAATGAGAAAATATTAATTTCATACTGCATGTATATTTTTAATTTACTTTATTTATGCAAAATTAAAGATCAAGATCATTTTTCTGAACAGTAAATGACACTTTGACACCCCATTTTTGAAAATTATGTTTGATTATAACGTCATAAATAATTTAAATTTACTCCCCCTTACTTTAAGGTAATAATTTAACCATGAAGAAAATAGAAGAAAAAAATTCCAAGATAAATAAATGAAAAATGCAATATCTATTTTGAATTTCTAATTGTCTGAAGAGAAGATTGTATTGCCTTTTTTAGAGAGACTAAAGGTAATCTGCATACAAGTGTATGCAGAAAAAAGAAGAAAATACTTGTTGCTGCTTTAAACTTGACATTTAGATAATGCAACGTATACCGGGTAATCAATTTAGAATAGTTTCTCCCATTCATATGTCGATATGATACACCTAAAGTACCTGGCCATAAGTGAGTCATATTTTATTTTTCCACTATATATTTCGTTGAAAAACGCATTTTCTAAAATACTACTACAATTTTATTTGTTGCTCATTCATTTTTACGACTAGAACACCGTAAATGCAGAATTCTTTGTAGTTTCTTCACATTATTTCAAAATAATTTTATCGTTAGGCATTACAGCGAAATCACAGGACAATTGCAAAATATAAACATTGAGACTTCAATTTCTTAGAAAAATCAAAGTAATTTGAGGTTAGAATATTTTGCCTTGACAATATTATAATTTATTCTTAGTGATTTATTATTATGATTTATCAGTTATCATATCGTTTATCACTTTTGACAAAAAACATTGAATGATTCTGCATAATTCATTGAAAAAAAGTTATGAGAATTGAAATTGACTTTACGACAAGTTTTTATAAAGATTGGGTTTTCAATTAAGGAATGTTTTTAAGTTTTGTGTGATTTTCATTTTTAAAAGAAAGGTTAAATACGTCAAGCGCCTGTAACACTGAATTGTCGACAAATTTTCAGTAAAGATCATTTTTCTGAACAGTAAATGACACTTTGACACCCCATTTTTGAAAATTATGTTTGATTATAACGTCATAAATAATTTAAATTTACTCCCCCTTACTTTAAGGTAATAATTTAACCATGAAGAAAATAGAAGAAAAAAATTCCAAGATAAATAAATGAAAAATGCAATATCTATTTTGAATTTCTAATTGTCTGAAGAGAAGATTGTATTGCCTTTTTTAGAGAGACTAAAGGTAATCTGCATACAAGTGTATGCAGAAAAAAGAAGAAAATACTTGTTGCTGCTTTAAACTTGACATTTAGATAATGCAACGTATACCGGGTAATCAATTTAGAATAGTTTCTCCCATTCATATGTCGATATGATACACCTAAAGTACCTGGCCATAAGTGAGTCATAGTTTTATTTTTCCACTATATATTTCGTTGAAAAACGCATTTTCTAAAATACTACTACAATTTTATTTGTTGCTCATTCATTTTTACGACTAGAACACCGTAAATGCAGAATTCTTTGTAGTTTCTTCACATTATTTCAAAATAATTTTATCGTTAGGCATTACAGCGAAATCACAGGACAATTGCAAAATATAAACATTGAGACTTCAATTTCTTAGAAAAATCAAAGTAATTTGAGGTTAGAATATTTTGCCTTGACAATATTATAATTTATTCTTAGTGATTTATTATTATGATTTATCAGTTATCATATCGTTTATCACTTTTGACAAAAAACATTGAATGATTCTGCATAATTCATTGAAAAAAAGTTATGAGAATTGAAATTGACTTTACGACAAGTTTTTATAAAGATTGGGTTTTCAATTAAGGAATGTTTTTAAGTTTTGTGTGATTTTCATTTTTAAAAGAAAGGTTAAATACGTCAAGCGCCTGTAACACTGAATTGTCGACAAATTTTCAGTTATTTTCCGGTTGGCAGGGGATGCTATCTACATCATAGCACTTGTTCTAACCTCTGATTTCTTAATGGACCTTGTTTGATCTGACCTAATCTCTGTATTGATTAGTGGACTTTTCAGTTTGAAACTGTTCATTATGTTCCCCAAACGAAGTTGGGGAACATATTGTTTTTACTCTGTTTCTTATTATTATTATTATTATTATTATTATTCCTGGGAAAATTTTGTCCTCGAGTGATCTTGTAAACTACACATCTGACTAAGGTAAAATGTTTTTAGGGTCAGTAGACATGTTATGTAGATTTGCCAAACAAAGGTCATTTTGCGCGCACGTGCTTGCAAGAGCGCGCACGTGCAACACGAGAAATGTCCAATATAATTGATATAGACGTAACTTTTTCAATTTTTGTTGAAATGCGTTGAAACTTATTATAGACAGATTATATTAGTAGCATAGACAATATGACATGGTCAAAATAGCAAGATCTCACGCGCATGCACGTGCGCTTCGCTCTGATTGGCTGAAACTAAAGACTCAATATCTTTCTTGTCTTTTGACGAAATTCTATGAAATTTTGAACATAGCCATGCATTGGGATATCCTACAACATGATATATAGCAATAATTATGGAAATACGTGCATGCACGTGCGCTGCAATCTGATTGGCTGAAACTTTAACTAGCTATAACTCTCTTGGTTTTCAACCAATCAGGATGAGATTTGGAACATAGATAGATATAATAAACTTCTACAAGATGATATGGACACCATGCACATGCATGCACGTGCAAGTATGTGCGCTGCAATCTGATTGGCTGAAACTTTAAACAGCTATAACTTCCTTGGTTTTCAACCAAACGGGATGGGATTTAGAACATAGATAGATGTAATTGACTTCTACAAGAGAGTATGATCACCATGCTCGTGTATGCACGTGCGTGCACGGGAAATATGTAAAATCAAAAATACACTTGAATGAGCGTATTTTTTAAAAATTTCGGTTAACTTCTTTAATATTTAGTATAAATAATATATAGATTGTGTACACAAGATGATATGGCCATTACTTATATGCATTCACATGCGCAGGCGTGCATTGCTAAAATTTGAATGAACTTGGTACACTTCTAGGTAAACGTTGTTTAAGTCTCAAGTTTGTCTTCTTTAATGAAGCTTACCGGGAATACGGCAACAAAAAGGAGTTGGGGAGCGTTTGGGGAACATCTGTAACGGTCCCCGTTACAATTAGCACTAGTTATCTCCATATTTTTCATTCATTAATTCTATTTCATTTTATTTTTAGGTCTATGGGAATGTCATTTAGTCATTAAACGTTGCAGGGTGATTATTTAAGAATATACAATTTCACGTAAACTCTCATGTTATTTATTGAATGATCTGATCCGAATTTTTTATTTAATCTCAAGTAAAGAATAGAAGGCTTCAAAAGTTACAAATATATAACGAAAAAGGCTGAATTTTTTAGAGAAAAAAATCTATTGTCAAGATCTTACCACGAGGGTTTTGATCCAAAATAATACAGCAGTATCACAGTGTTCATAGCTTTTATAATTTGCGTCATATTATCAAATATAATGTTTCAAAAGATGCATAAAAATAAATCAAATTCAAAATTGAAAAGAATTAACTAACTTTACTATAGATATAAAAACCTGAAAACATATGAGATGCCGCTGTGTCACAATTAAACTTCGCGTATTAAAGTGTATATTTTTAGAATGAAAAAAGACCAACGCATTTAAAAGCATCTAAAAAGCGCCTATTCGCCTGATATTATGCTATTTTTGATCATAAACATTGTTGTTCTACTCAAATGCTTTGATCGAAGTAAACGTTTAAATGGAAAGATCTGCCATGCATGGTGTCCGGATAGGACCATATGCAAACTTTCAACAGCATGTTCAGAAAAAACGCCATCGCGCAACACTAAATATATATGTACACGCTGTAACACTAACGGAAGTTCGCACAACACGCCGTCGCAAGTTGTGTGCTAGCGCAGCGCGACAGCGTGCTATTTATGAGTGAGTGAGTGTACAATGAGTGTACAATGGGTGCTAAGAATTCTTAAAGAAAGTTAAATGTGTGAATTACTGTGTTCTTGAATCTGAAATATTTTTTAATGAATGTGAGGGTATGACGGCGCATAACCGTCATATGACGTTATTAAGGTGCGGCGACTATAATATTCGCACCTTGTATAGAATTTGATATTTTGAAAAGTATAAATCAAGTTATTTTGAATTTTTCAAGTCTGATTTGAAATATAGTTTCTATCATACATGTATATGATTTTGTTGTTTTACGTCGACTAGTCGCAATTTTATCGACGTTGTGACATTACTTTTGGATCAATCCACCTTCATATTATTTAAGACATTTTAACATGATTTTTGAAATACATTGTCTCGATTCTCAAAATATATTCTTTTTCTCCTCTGTACAGACGGCCCCTTTTTATGTCAAGAATTAGAAAAAGATATTACATTTGAAAAAATGAAATCAAATCTCTCTCTCTTTTGCAACTTGAAAAATTATATAGATATGATACATGCATTGGATTCCAGAGATAATTTGCCTAATTTCTGCTCATTGGCGTCAGACACATAGACACCCGCAGGGTATTGATAAGCTTAAAAGTTCCTGACCTTCTACGTGCGGATTTATTATATGTAATGAATGGAGGGTAACAAACAGTAATTCAAGAGCAAAAGTCCATAAAACAATACAAAATAGGTGCGGGACAAACACGGACCTCCAAAACATCAGAGGTGGGATCAGATGAAAATGTTGTGAATTAAAAACATTTTTAAACTTTTAAATGAGATGCCACATAGAAAATTGATGAAAATACAATAATTTTGATATTATCTAAAAGCATTCAACATTGAATATTCTAAAAGGCTGTAAGTATATGACTTGTCTATAGAGAATGTATAAATTAACACAAATGTGGAATGGGTTCACATTTTAACAGCTGCGTATTGAAATAAGTTCCTGTAACCTTCAAAACAGCTGTAATTAACAAATGGTGTCTGTACATAACAATGACATCAACAACTTGTACTTACAAAGTACAGTGTTTATTAATTTTTTTAAAGCAGGTTTTATTGCCAGATTTGAATGAGCACTCGTTTTGAAATACTTCGAATTCATTTTTTGAATTCGGTCACAAAGTCACGAGCTTTTGCTGCAAGATTAATATGCATTTTGAAATTACACTTCATTTCATTTTATTAAAAGATACAAAATTTCACATAATAAGACTTTAAATGACCAAAAAAGTACTCAGATTGTCAAGACAATAGCTCGAAATATTGTTAGATATAATTGACTTTATGGGACTCACCAAAATATTTCAAATGTATGATAAGTAGAATGATGCATACCTTAATCCTTATTTCAAACATTCGGTCCTCGTCTGGCTGATATAGGACCATTCGGACTGATATGCCATATGGTTTTAGTATATAATATTCTCCGTCTAAATAATTCAAATATACTATAATAAACCTAATGTAAAGTTGTCTGTTGACATATTTTGATAGAGTAAGAAGAACACGAGAGGTTGGGCTGATATTTTCCACTCTAAGTAACCATAATAATTTAAAAATCATAATAATTTTGATTCCTTTGTCAGACGTACAATAAATAGTCTTTTGCATCATGATCAGGTGATAGAAGAGGACTAGGAAGTCATTTTCAATGTGTATATAATATTTCAGGTAGTAAATACTATATAATTAATTGGTCTTTTTAATTTTACTTCAGTTCTACTAGTTATACAGTTTACAGTGATTGATCTATTTTCGAAATTGAAACTACACAAAACAACATAACAAGAAAACATTGATGTAACCATCAATTGTCTCCCGGGAAATATATAAAGTAGACAAAGGAAATGAGTCTTGATCATCAAACCGCTCCGACATGTGTGAAAAGGCATGCGAGGTATGCGTCTAATTGATGGAGACGATATAGTTGCGGATATTTTGAAAACTTGTAGACGGTTAAAAATCAAACAAAAACGATACCATTTTAAACTCGATCAATTCCTCAAGTAAAGTTGGCTGCATAAAATATAAATTGAAGTAAAACACGCGCATCACCTATATTCAAAAATGTATTAATTTTCAATCATAGAATATAAAACACTAACTGTGCAGAGTACGTTTTTATACGAGAAGTAAAATTCGATGTTCTAAAAAAAGCGACCTGTCGTTTTTTCGATAGTAAATGATAAGCATCTTTATATATTAAATATGAAAAACATATATATTTTTACAGATTCACTTTATTGAAGTAAATATATTATGTATCTAATAATTTATAAAGGGAAAAACATTCTGATTAACAATCTTTTCAATGTTTAGAATACCTTTAATTCTGAATAACTTCTCCCACCCAAAGTCCCATACACCAACACTTAAACTTATATGTATAGAGCAGCCCGGAGGACCGGAAATTATTCACAAAGTGTTTTAATGATCATTTTTCAGAGAAATTAATAATTTCTATTTACAACATACATTCAACGTTTTTTTTATATCTTTTTTTTTACTGAATTCTGCTCATATCATAAGACAGTCTAAATGTCATACAGATTTTCATTATACAATTTTGTTATGATTTTTGTGATACTCCCTGAACAACCTTACTTAATCTGGGATGAGACATGATAACGTTGAATCTTTTTTATCATCTGTATGCATTTCTGTACATTAGATGGCAACTGCTTTGATAGGCGTCGTATTGTTTTTTTTTCTGTATTCAGGTTATCTTGAAAATATTATTTGAAAAAAAATTATTTCTGCAGACCACATTTTAGGATCCACTTTTCACGATCCTCTTCACAATTCCCTAGTTTATGTTTCCGTGCTCGGTTGTTTCTCATGTGATTTATCGCATGACCACTGAGTTTGACTTCCTCAAAGTCACATGTCACATATTGTTAAAAAATGTCATGCTTATTACTTTCAGAATTTGATAATATTTTATTTTCTCTTTTATCATCAATTCAGTCTAATTGTTTTTCAAGACTATATGGTCTATTATTTTTGTGCTCGTTATTTTCTTTTTTGATTGGAATGCCAAGGTGTGCAGGTTTTGGTTTTATTGCTGGTTTCTTATTTTGAGCCTTTGACACATTTTTTGGCTTTTTTTCTGAAATATCAGTATTTTGTTTCCCCTTTTCACCATATTGCTCTTTCTCAGGTTGTCTGTTCGCCACATCACTGTAGTAATTATTATATGGTTCATCATTATCTTCTTCAGAGTCATTTGATTTTAAAAGTCCAGAGTCGGCTTTATCGGATGCAACAGTCACATAATCGCCGACGTCCATTTTAAGCGAGTCAGTTTCAGATATATCATATAATTCACCATTCCTGAAGTCCATTGTTCGACTTTTAAGTCTGTTAAAGCTGAGCTGATTGTAAGGATTCTGAATGCTCCCGGTCTTTGCGTAGCTAACTCTATCTAATGTTTTAAACCTCTTCTGGCCGCTACAGGCACTGTCCTCGTCAAGAACCAGTCGAGATTCTCTAATGCTGTCATAATCGTCCTGTTCATGTTCATTGTTTGCATTTTCCTCTCTTAGTGGATCTGTAATAATTGCCTTTTCCAGTTGAAATTAATAAGATTCAGTACTTAAATGTTAGTCCTAATGATGGATAAAAGCATATTTTTTTTCAATTAGTATTTAGACTGAATTCATTAGTAAATCCACATACCTTCCAAAACTGTTTCCTTTTGAACTAATTTCTTCCTGTCAAATAGTACAATAACTACCCAAGTAAGAACATACAATGTGAATAAAATAAGTTCTAGTATAGGATAAGTATTTAGTAAATAAGTCTTTCGAGTTTTTTAGAAAACGATAAATGTAAAGTATATAGGATCAATTGCTTTATGTCATACATTTTAAAATCAACACGTCTTCAGCTAAAAAATTAGTTTTAAGAAACAGAAAAAATTGCAAAAAATTACAAAAATCAAATTAATTTAATTAAATATATCATAAAACTTATAATAAAGTTTCAACAGTGTTATCATTATTAATGTAAAAAAAATTACATCCAAAGATTTTTTCCATCTATATGATATAAAAGGTGAAAATAAAGGGCAGTGATCGATCTTAAAAAATCTTTATACAATATAGATATGTGAATAGGGCATAAAACACGTACATGTACCCCTGAAAATTTCCGAAATAGGATCAAATGCCTAAAAGGAATAGCATCCCCTGTAGATGAGTGAAATAATTTTTACAGATAAATCATTAAGATTTGAAAAATAAACCGTCGACGTATTTTTCTTGTTAATGCAGAACAATTGCAACCATGGCAGAAAAAATAAAACCTGTTTATGGTCACGAATTGTTGGAAACTTTTGCACCCATATATCCCTACTTTAAAAAGGGAACAGAATAAAATATTGTTTTAAAAACATATCCAGGTGACACATATCAATCAATAAAAACTGAAAAAATCAATTAAATGCAATTTGAATTACTATTGTTTTAAGTCAATATTGTCGAGAGAGCATTGGAAGAAGTAATAAAATCAAACCTAATTATTTATAAGAGTTTATAAAATTTATGTAATACACAGTAATTTAAAATCATGCAAATCTGTAAAGTTACCTTTCTTTCACGTAGAGCGTTAAAAAAAGAACTGCGAGAGATCCAGTACTTCCAAGCAGACCAAACAAAATGGGTATCCATGTCATTGGTCCCTTTTCTTCGCGTACATTATCTAATTAAGTTTAAACAATACCTTTATCAAATAATTGACCAGTATTTATTTTATTAACATTTAGATTAAAAATGACATTACATTAGCTCTATTATCAATCAATTACATAGCAAATAAGTAGATTGTTTAGTATTTTCTTCTGTTTAATCTTGCAGGTCTTATCCGGGGTACCGACATATTTCATTACAATGTGCCATGCGCATGGCGAAGGAACAGTTGCTATCCATTTTATTGCAGCCCGGAGGACCGGGCTGCTCTATACATATAAGTTTAAGTGTCGATGTATGGGGATTGAAGTGGGAGTAGTTATTTAGAATTACAGGTTTTCTAAACATTGAAAAGATTGTTAATCAGAAAGTTCTTTCCGTTTAAAAATTACGATATACTTTATATATTTACTTCCATAAAGTGAATCTGTAAAAATATACATGTATATGTTTTTCATATTTGATATATAAAGTTGTTTATCATATACTATCGAGAAAACGACGGGTCCCTTTTTTTAGAAAATCGAAATTTACTTCTCGGATAAAAACGTACTCTGCACAGTTCGTGTTTTATATTCTAAAATTGAAAATTAACAATTCAAATATACATGTAGGTGATGCGTTTGTCTTACTAATTTATAGTCATGCAGCCAGCATTTACTTGAGGAATTGATGAAGTTTAAAATGGTATCGATTTTAAATGATTTTTATTCCTTAACATGTTTTCAAAATTTTCGCGACTATCGTCTTCATGCCTTTTCACTCATATAGAAGCGGTTTGATGATCAAGACTCGTTTTCATTTTTTTACTTTATATATTTCCCGGGCGACAATTGATGGTTACGTCAATGTTTTTTTGTTTTTAATGACTTAGGTCAGTTGTGGCAAACCGAACATGTAGCGAGCTCTCTTCCGACTGAACTCCGTGACGGTAAGTCATATATGATCTATAAAATTACCTGTAAGATTCATGTCGTATACACTTACGTATTTCTTCTGTTATATTGAAACAAGTCTCTGCTGTCGTATTACATCCAACAGTGTATTGTGTTGTATTATTACAATGACATTCATCCTGACATTTTAAACCATGGTATCCCTCAGGACATGATTTACTGCATTCAAATCCAAAGGAGTCCATGCATGCTAAATTTATGGTAAACAAGTACAAAAATTATCATAGGTTTTCTGCATCGCATAATATGGTTCTTTAAAATCATTAGGCATCGTGTTATATAGTCATGTAAGGGAATTTAGTTGTCTAATTATTGCAAAAAAAAATCAATTCATTTTATAAATAAAGCACTCACGGTAACATTTTTTTCCAATTGTTCTATAGTCGGTACAACATCGACTAATTTCTCTGAAATACAATTGAATGATTATATATTCAAATTCTACTACGTTTATAAATAAAGATTCAATACTCCGCAGAATTTTTCAACAAAAGTTTAATCACTTACGTAATGGGGTCGGAACATTTTGGATCAACAGGAGTTGGCTCTTGAGAGGTATTATGAAGAAAAACAAGCAACAGTAACATAAAACTTGTAAAGTATCCTAAGTAATGCATTGTCTCAAATGTATGTGTTTTGCACATTAAAGTTTATACACTTATTCTTTCATTTTTCTTCGAATATGAGCTCTGTCGCAAGTTGACTATACGTTATAAATCCAAAAGTAATTATTAAAGTTGATAAGGAAGAAAAACATTCGAATTTGAAGCGAAATGTCTATTTTTGTCAATGACTCTAACATGAGACTGTTTAAAGCGAAAGTAAATTATGAGGAAGAATTATTTCCCGCTTGTTGCCTTGTTGAAGTCAAAATACACAGATTGCTTATTTTTTTAAGTTTTAAAGTTTCATTAGTAAGTTACAGACAAATTCTTACCATCATTTTACTAAATATACAACCTTATATCGACGGTCGACAGTGACAGCGTCTTTTGCTATATTACAATAGCAGTTTATTCCAATGTTTTGTACTACACGGAGACCGATCAAAACTGACTTCGCTAAGAAAACTCCCATTTCATTTGTATACTAAAGATTTGGTGATTTTGAAAAAAAAGAAAACTATTTAAGGAATCACTGTCTAGTTTGGAGAGTATGCCAGGGCATCAGCAATAGTGGGAAACATGGGATAATTTGCATAACAGGCGAAGTCCGTTATGATTAAATTATCCCGTGTTTCCCACTATTGTTCATGTCCCTGGCATACTCTCCAAACTAGACAGTTATTCCTTATATTTCCATTTAATTGTGAAATAAAATTGTAGACTTAGACATTTAAAATGTTGACAAATAGATTTAAATTACACAAGGACTTCCATGCCAATTTCAATAGTCCTCGCACACTGACGTCAAACACAAAGGCATGCCTATTTGGCCTCTTTAGCGTCAGACACAGAGACAGATGCGCACGAGATTTGCATGCATATTAGGCCTCCTTAGCTGCTGACCTATCGACCTGCCTAATTTACGTTACGGCAGAATTATCAAGAAATAATCTCCCCCTACTTTCAAAGAGTTATCACAGAGAAATAAAAATAGAAATGGAACTATATTCATTTAAAGTCTCTAAAGGTGTAATTACAACATCTTATTCAAATTTAACTGCGCTCCGGTACGCCGTAACGTCATCAAATGTCGTCATTTTTCATACGCTGCGTTTATCAATTTCTAATTTCGAATGCTCGGAAACTGTCAAAATTAACCAAATGCCTTGAAATTTTTAAGAAGACGACAAAATAGATTATGAAATCGAATAAGCATAATTTTTACCCCAATCTTATGTATGTTAAACTTTTATTTCGAGATATACTAGTGTAATCTTTCATAAAACTTAGGTTTTTTGTCGGTGCGCAGTAGGACCCTAACATGTGCACATTCAAGCTTAATATTTTTTTTATTGTTGCTATATTTTACTAGAAAAATTATGATGCACTTAAATATAATAAATAAAAATTTAATGAAAATTCTAGCTTAGTGTCCCTATTATTTTCGAGAAAAAAGATTTGTTTACGATTTTACCGGACAACCCTCGTACTATTCCAATATTTCCTCCTGAAGAAGATTTTCAATAGTTTCATCCTTGTTCCGTTCACATCCATCTATTAAAATTTGATCTTATGTTTTTGGTCCAACTTTTTTACAGACTCATCCATTTAAGAAAAAATAGTCCACACTATTCAGTAATGTTTGAATCGACTTAGTACATGCATGATTCTGCTACTCTTAAAAAATGCCCGTATATATTTTGCATTGAAAACTTCCATCCTCATTAATATCACAGCCCCTACAATGATAGGTTTCATATACTACTATACTTTTAAGAATGCTTGCTTTTTATTTGACATATCATGGTTTTGCTGTTCTTCATCCGATTTTATAAAGAAGTTTCTATCTATCCAAATATTAAATTCTATTCCTTTTGAAAGCCCTTTTGGGCCATAATTTGAACAAAATGAAGTTTATATAAACAAAAATTGAATTTCAAATTTTATCATGAACAAATTGAAGCTTTTATAATGAAAGCTATCTCCTTTAAGAAGAGGCATTGTTCAATTAAACCAACCTAAATCTCTTTAACCAAAATAGCCTTTTTGACGTTTTGGTTAAAATAATGGCACAGCAACGTGGTTTTAAAGAAGACCCAAAACCTAAACATTATGTATACAACAAGGATGACACATAATCAATTAAATTAAAAAAAAAACCACTACACTGAGTGTAGTCCAATTATAATATCTTTGAAAAAAAATCTATGAGTATATGGTTTTGAATTTCAAATTATTGCATTAGGTAAAGGTCACTGTTATAAAACACATTTTTTTCTAATTTCATTAAGTCTTAGGTTGTATTGATAGAACATAAAAACATATACATTGTAAGTATATCAAAACCAACTGAAAGTGAAGCTGACTTTGTTATGATAAAAAAAATCATAACTTTTGTTTCTAAAACATTAATCTTTTTTTTTTCCTTTCAAGCTTATATTTCCCTTTCTTTTCGTCTTCTTAATGCCCGGTAAGACTTTAAAACATGAGGACATGTTTTACGGTAGACATAAGCATGTCTAAGAGCCCTCCCCCATCAGTGGCAGTTCAGCAACACAATGGCAAGATAAAATCTCACGCTGCACCTCGAAGAATGCACCTGATTATGATATTCTTTCTTTTACATCGCTTTTCACTTGTGTAAACCACGTATTTATGAAGCTAAATCAAGCATGCCATTGGTATCATGGTGTAAGGAGATGATACCTACGTTATGGATTCAAATCCCACTGCGTGACGCAGAGAGCATACATAAAAAAACACAACTGAGGTATTCAATTTGTTCTTGCACAATGTCCCTTAGTGCCTAGAACAAGACAAATTTAAGAGTCTTTTACCAGCGCACCCTGACTTCTCAGTATAAATTAAAAGGACTTAAAACAAAGACAAATTATCAACATTTAAAAAAAAATAGATATTATTATTATTAGCATATAGTCATTGTTTTTAACTTAATCTTGACATATACTGAAAACAGTAGACCCACAAGAAGGTAGGTGATTTATAGGCAGCATGCTCGAAAGGTTACTATATTTTCGAACTAGAATTAGACATTTTTTCCTCTTTTTAATTTTTACCAGTCTAAATATCGTTAAAACAATGACTAAAAATATTATTTATTGAGCGAAAAATGTCTTCAATACCTTTAAAGTATTTTACTCTTTTGAGAACAATGTTCAGTTTCAATACAACTTTGTCCTGTATTATTCTATAATATTAAAGTAATGAAAGAAATTAAAATCCATCCCTTCGTAATGAGAGGAATTCACAACATAATAAAAACCAAATAGTTTTCTTATACACTCCCAAAATGTTCATTGTGAAGTCATTATAACTTTTAGCACTACCCATTCTTTCTTAAAAAGTTGCAGAAAACATCAATTTTCAGTTTATTTCATTATGTTTTATTCAGAGATATATATGTAGCCCCTCAAAAAGTTTTTTCCGAGGCTTTTTCTGCTTTAAATTTAGAAATGTACCACGAGTTAATGAATGGTTCTCCTTCATGCCATATTCTTTAATGGATAATCATATTCATAAACTAATCTCACAATTAAGCCAATTTCATAACTTGAAAACTTAACTTTTAAGGGTACAATATAACCCAAACTGTACGTTCTGTTGACCTTCTCAGAAATTAAACATGACAAATCATTATTATATTGGATATTATTAACAAAGTTATTCTTATTGTTGCTGCGGCCGAAGATATGCGTGTTCCTTATACTCGTGTATTGAATATTAACTCAGCTTATATTCTTCATTAACCGACAAAAACATTTATTGCTTTTTAATACACCGCCTTACGACTTTGAGACAATGATCTTGACACATGACATTCGACCTACTTGATTTTTGTTATATTCCCTAGATCATGAAAATATGAAATATGTAAAATCTAGGAACTACTTCGTGAAGAAAGGAATTTCATGTATATCAATCTTTTTTGTGCTGACTCTCAAAAAAAGTTATCCTTTGTTGTATGTTTGAACATGACAATTTTTTGGAGTTTGATGACATTTCTACTTGTGAAGATGTTTGTGGTGGTAAGGATGGTGGCTGAGCGATTCCAGATTCTGGTTCTGACAAAGGGCCCTGTGTTTCAATAACATGAATGTATTCACTTTTCGTTTTCCTTGTACCAGAATCATCTTTTCTCCTCAGAAGAGCTAGGATTGATGGTTTTGCTGTCTTTTGGACATCGTCTTGGGGTACATCATATGTATTGTAATGTCTTTCACAACTGCTTTTAGATGATCCAGTGTTACCGAGGGAAGGTTCTTCACATTCATTATACACATTTTCGTCTACTTTTGCGTAGCTTTGAGAAGTAAAATCATTCGGACAAATACTTTCTTGCACATAGTTACCATGTACGTTTAGGGACAATCTCCTGAAAAATTATTAAAATCAAAACAAATAAATTAAGATTTAGAAGGAAAACCATTCCAAAAACAAATGTTTCTGAAACAAAATAAAAGTATAAATAGCAGCAATGGATCAAATGAAATCTTTAAATACTAGGTAATACAATAACGGGCATATTGAATACTCAAAAATACCATCAGATTTTAAGAGCGATACGTATTTCCTATTCAGTCATACCCTTCAGACTGCTAGAAATGTAGCGGTCAGATCGATGAAGCTTGTAGCTCTTGGTCGAAATTAGAAGAAAATCAAATGTCTTACAATATGTATGGAATATGACAAAACAAATACAAGTCTGCGATCGGGAAATAACAGGAAATAACGTCGACAATTCATTTTGTAAATAATGACCTATGTAAGTATGAAAACGTCAGCATTTGACTAAGTGGTAAATTGTTTTTGCTGACAAGGTCACTGTATGGACCACAGAACATACGAAATGATGAAATTTTAATGCTTTTTTTGGCTCATGCGTAGAACATGTTCCTGTGTATCTGACTAATTTGAGATATAAGCCCCGTATGCAGGTGATGAATGTATATTGCTTTGAAGAACAATGGTAAGGGAAGTTGACGACTGAACACTTC